ATTCATATCGGTATCGGCCGATATCCAAATTTATGATATCGGTATCGGACATAAAAAAGTGGTATCGTGCCATCTCTAGTATGTACTAATGTCTTGTAGCAAACCATTTGTAATGCTTTAATGCTAAAAACAAAAGATCTGATGGATTTGATTGGAGTGAATACAAGGCTGAGGCCATTGTCTACAGTGGCACTGTATTTCCAGGTTAGCCTAAAACAACAGATGCAAACAGGTAAAACACAACACTGCACATTGTAAACTAGAGCAGGCAGCTAACAGCAAGAACTCGTGTTCTTCTACCAAGGCTAATTCCATCCACATGTAAAAACTGATTTCCTGGATCCAATCGTATCACCACCATAGTTATTCACTTCTAAGTAAGTCCAAACCCCATTTTTGGTGAAATTCCCATGCAAATCCTACTCACAGACATATAGCTAAATCAATCACATTTCCTCACCAGTGAGCATGACAAGTTACTTTTTATTACTGTTATGTTAGTGCTCAGAAGCTTATAAATCTACCCCATGGAACTAATTTCTCTTCTCTTAGTGAGGAGTAATATCATGCTTACCCTGCAGATGTCAGTAGAGACAAGCATCAACATGAGCTGTAGCGAGAGTTTCTCTCACACACACTTGGGACTAAAGCTATGTGAGAACTAACAGATTAATGGACTTTGGGGTTTTCAGCCCCCAAAGAAAAGCTCTTCACTCAGACGTGTTCTACTCAACGTTTGGCCCTGCTGTCTTTCCAATAATGGTGATAGAGTAATGCGGAAGGCTGATTAATGGCAAAGACCAAGCTGGTATTCCACAGATCTTTGTCTGTTGTGCCATGACTTCTGTGACAACATAGAACAGAGTATCGGTAATCCAGCAAATAAATACATACATATAAAACAACATGCTGGGTCACACTACATTTCACCCCTGTCTCTGGACTCTCACCACCACCCTCTTTATCTTAAACAGCACACCATGTCCTATTTTACAGTAAGACCATGGTACGAGAAAATAAAGTCTGTGATGCCAGAAAAAGATCATTAAAATAGACAGTACTAGGAGGGATTTTCACCGATGTGACCAAAAATATTTATCACGATATACATTTGAAAATTTGCGATAACGATATAAATGACACTAGACAAAATACTTTACAACTCCACAACTTTATTAGTGCAAAAAAACCCCATCAATGTATTTTCACTTAAGCAAGCAGCTGTTTTTTGCATTAAAGTTATATAAAAATTTCCAGTGTTCGTGCCCAACAAGCATGACTAGCATGTGTATGCATGAATGTTACAGTCCATTCAAGGTTCAAGGATCAAGGTTCTTTATTTGTCACATGCATAGTTATACAAGTATAACACACAGTGAAATGTAACCTGACACGCTCCTTGACATGTGCAAAAAATTGGGGGGGGGAGGTGTAGAGGAAGAACATCATATAAATATATATATACATACATATGGTATATACACTGGGTGAATGTGCAGTAGTAGCAGCAAGCAGGTGAATTCTGTACATTAATATGAATAGACATCTGACTATTTTACAGGATAGACAATATAAACATATTTAAAATTAAAGGAATTGAAATGTACATTGTGCCTTGGTTTAGCATGCTCTAATGTAATGGCTCCGTTAGTCACTTTGGTTAATGTCACTTGCACATTTGGGGGAAAGCAGGTTCGTGGCACGACAACTGAGTGTGATGTATTGCAGGCTGAGCGTCTACTGGAGAAGGAGCAGCAGGAAGATCAGAGGAGGAGGGAGGAGTTTGAGCAGGACCGCCTCAGGTTAGCCCTGGATCGGGGTCGCTTGGGTTTCATTGCTGTTGCCTTCTGGTATTGTGTGCAGTGTTGTGTTCTGTCATGCTCTAACATGGATCTCTGTTAGTTATATTCAGCATCAGATGTCAAAAGAGCAGGCGGAGTGCTGATATGTGTCTAATTTCCTATATGTGTCCCAGTAAAATATGACTTGACATTGAGCATTCACCGAGGCAGCAGCTGATCTCAGTGGAATGAGCTGGTAGTTGCATAGATCCTATACAGAAGCCATAAACAGAACCTAATTTTAGTGAGGTAAAACTAAGTCTATGCTTTCGTTCATCTTATTATTAGTCGTAGTATCATTGTTATTATTATGATTATTTACTTGATTTGATTTTAAAAGCAATTTTTTGGTTGTAAGTTGAATTCTTAAATCCTTCTTCACATTCAAGTGCAGGACCATAACTAAATCATCATCAATGCAGCTGTGGTCTTCCCTGAAATTATGTCAGCATGCTGTCAATTCAATAATAAAAGTACAACTACAGTACAGTACAGCCTACCAGGTGGCCCCAGCCAACATTTTGGGAATCACTGCTCTAACCCATTCACTACTAGGTTATATCAATCAATGGTATTCTGCACTCTCAATGGTAGCAACTAAAATCACTTGTCTGGAAGTTGACCCAAAGGTTTATCTTGGGTCCCGCCCACTTCCTGCTGCCATTGGTTATTTGGCTCAAAGTTGCTTGAAGTTGCTGAATGTCATTCCCTTTCTATAGTCTCTGGTTGCCACGGCACTGGAAAACATTTGCATAGTTGATGCAGCTTAAGCGTTGAGCTGGAGAAAAACAACAGCCCTGTCAAATTCCACAAATTACAGTAGTACTTGTGGAGGGTATAATAGAGAAAGTGAAGAAAGTGTCAAAATGTTTTTCAGCGTCTCCCAGCACACAAGCACAGACAGAGCATGCTTCTCATAACTACTAAATAAATATAAGCCAGTGGAAACCTTTGGCTTCATACCGGATTTAAACCCCAAAATTGCAGGTGAAAGTTCTGTGCCACCATAGTTTTAATGTAGTGTAATTTTTCTTTTTCTGAAAGGACTCTCTCTCTCTCAGACATCTTGAATTACAACATGCTGTAAGGTTTGCTCCACATACTTCCTAGCCTGACTTTAATATATATTTTCCTTTCAAAATATGTCTTACAAATTAAAGCCGAGAAAAAACAGAAACATTATTCCGTGCTCTCCAAAAAAAGTCATGAGATTTTATTAAATATAGACAGACTAATGATTCAGAGCGTCTACTGTAACTACAGCCCCTTCATTCCTTTTTGTCTGACCACTTTAAATCCATTACCCCAACAGCCACGATGTTACTGGAATATGATCTCTGGCTGACTCCCAGGGTAATTGCTTGTCAAGTGGCATCCCTGGTTTCCTTACAAGGTAAACAAAAACAGGAGACAGCAGACCAGTGTACAGAACTGAAGAAACAATGATGATATTTAGAAAAGGGGCTAATGGGTAGCAGAGCAGATGCTCTGTGCACAGTTGGGACAGTGTCACACGGGGACAAACAAACGTGGTCAGCCTTTGTCAGACTGTCAGCTTTTCAGGTCTGTGGAGCGTCTGCTGATTAAAATAATACTTAAGGCCTTATTATTTCTGTGTGTGTGTGTGTGTGTGTGTG